CAAGAGTGCCTTAACACTCAAAAGTCAATCAGTATAATTTACCATATTAACAAAAGAAGAAGAAAAACCATACAAGCATCTTGACAGATACAGAGAATGCTTGATAAAATTCAACACTTTTCATGATTTTTTAAACAAATAACTCCTAGCAAAGTAAAAAAGAAGGAAACTTCCTAAATCTGAAAAAGTACATCCACAAAAGACCAGCAACAAACATCATAACTAATGGTAAATTATTGAAAGCTTTTCCCCAAGATCAAGAATGAGACAAGGATGCCCACCATTACTACTTCAATGCAGCGATGCACTGGAAGTCCTAACCGGTACAAGTCTTGAAAAAGAAACAGAAGTCATAAGTAGGAAAGGAAGAAAGAAAGCACACACAAGCCAAAAGAATCTAAGGCAGACTCTCAGATTTAATAAATGAATTTAGCAGGGTCATGGATATACAGTCAATAGACAAAAACCAACTGAATTCCTATAAAGCAGAAAATACAATTTTAAAATCAGTATTTATAACAGCACCAAAACCATCAAATATCTAATAATAAACCTGTCAAAAAATGTAAGACCTTTTATCTAAAAACAGTGAAATGTTATAGAGAAAATTTAAAGGACCTAAATAAAGGGATGGATATACAATTTTCATGGATTGGAAGGCTCAACATTTTAAAGATGCCAATTCTCCCCAAACTGAACTATAGATTCAACTCAATGCCAATGAAAATCCCAGCCTGTATGTGTGCACATGCATGTAGAAATTTACAAGTTGACTCCAGAATTTATACAGAAATGCGAACAGTCAAAAATAGCCAAGGCTTTGATGAAAAGAAGTGATGAGCTGTCATTTCCAGTATTAGGTTGTAAGAAGACTGTGACTTTCATCTTGGGCTCTCTCTTTCACTTTCTTGGATTGCTCACCCTAAGGAAAGCCAGCAACCACATTATGAGGTAGCCCTGTGCAGAGGCCCACATGGCGAGGGATTTAGACCTTCCAGAATACATGAGTGAGCTTGAAATCCCCCCTCAACCAAACCTACAGATAAGACTTCAGCCCTGTCCAACAGTTAGGGTGACCAACTGTCCTGGTTTGCCTGAGACTAAGGTGTTTCCCAGGATGTGGGAATTTCAGTGCTCAATCTGGAACAGTATTGAGCAAACTAGGAGCTCTGGTGGCATAGTGCCTAAGGCACTTGACTGTTAACCAGAAGGCTGGTGGTTCAAACCTACCAGCCACTCCTCGGAAGGAAGGTTGGGCAATCTACTTATATAGTAATATCACCTCAGAAACCCAAGGAGAGGTTGCTGTGAGTTGGAGTCTGACTCGATGGCACATAACAACAACAACAACAACATTGAAAAAACTGCAATGGTTGGTCACCCTACCAACCACTTGGCTGCAACTTCATGAGAGGGTTTGAGCCAGAAGCACCCATTTAAGCTATGCCCAAATTCCTGATGTTTGATCTTTTAAGCTGCTGTTTTGTGGTAATGCATGGTGCAGCAATAGATGACTAAGAATCTAACACTTCACAACACAGGATATTAAAATGGACATTACTTATACGACAAAGTGCTCAACTTCACTGCTTATCAGAGAAATGCAAATTGAAATTACAAACAGCTATCACTGCACACAGGAGCTCTGGTGGTGTAGTGACTAAGGCAAGTGACTGCTAACCAGAAGGCTGGTGGTTCAAACCCACCAGCCACTCCTCAGAAGGAAGACTGGGCAATCTACTTCCACAGAGATACCGCCTCGGAAACCCAAGGAGGGGTCGCTATGAGTTGCAATCGACTTGATGGCAGTGACTTTTTTTGTTTTATCACTGCACACCTACCAAAATGGCTGAAATCAAAGACAGAAAACATCCAATGTTGGCAAGAATGTGGAACAACGAACTCTCATACACTGTGGAAATATAAACTGGTACAATCATTGTGGAAAACGGGTAGTAGCTACAAAGCTGGACAGACCCAGAAACTCCACTCTCAGATGTACACTAACAGAATGCCTACCTCTAATCACCAAGACATTCACAAAGATGTTTATAGCTGGACAGGATCTTGGAGGGCATTCACTTCTATTCCCCCCCAGCTAACATGGAGGACATAACAGAGAACAGCAATAAGAAAGAGCAAGAAGGTTCTATAGTAGCAACCAGATGCCTCTGCACTTACATCAGATCCAACTAGATAAGAAAACAAACCACATTTCAGCTATCAATAAAGAAAGCCACGTCTTCTGGCCACTCAGAGAAGCAGGGGTGGAGAAGAACCCCTTCTCTCCCAGGTTCCTGCTCCTGGCTGAGAACTGTGGTTTTCAAGCCAGGGAAATTTCAATTCAAACAAGCCCTCAGGCAAAGGTTCTGGCTGATTTGAATGTCCCGATTCTCAGGCCTCCCCCTCCGGGAAGACCCCAGTACACCCAGGAAACCCAGGGACTTGCCTGTAACCTTGGGTGTCCTGTGGCTGGGTATTCCCCCCTCCCCCTCCCTGGCCCCAAGTCCCCGGCACTCACCCCAGCTCCGGGCCCTGGACTATACCAGCCCGTCATAGAGGGACAGAGCCTGCACGATGGAGGGGTCTGCCTTGGACCCTTCCTGGAACTCCTGCAGCGTCAGCTTCCCGTCAGCATTCTGTAAGCAGAGAGGTGCGGCTGAACACGGAGGGACAACCAGCCTCCTAGGACTGGACCCCAGATGCCTCCTCCCCAAGCCCAACCCAGGCAAGGTCCCAAGAGAGCTTCCAAAATCAGGTCAGGAGGGTGGCAGTGTAGCTCACTAGATAAGAGGAACTGCATATCAGACAGAATTGGGTGCTTTCTGGCAGGGTGGCCTTGGCACCTGACCCACCTCTCTAGGTGTCTGCTTCCTCATCTGAGGACACATGGCTTCCTCAGGGCACTGAGGTGGGAACTCCATGAACTCAGGCTACATAAACTGCCTGGCAAACTGGCAGCGCCCCAGGACTCCACAGTTACTATTATCACTACTATTAATTGCCATGGATGGTGGTTAATCCAAAAACACTAAGAACCTACACATTTATCTGAGGTTACCCTTAGAAGGCATTTTAACTACTCTTGGAGCAGCCCACACTGAAGCTGGGAGACCGGGGAGGGAGATGGATGGACAGATGGAGCTCATGCAAGGACACAGAGGGACTTTGGTGAGTGCCCTGGGGAAGGGATGGTTTGGGCCAGAATCCCTTCCCCTGGAACATCTCTCAAGGGAACCTGTGATACTGAAAGAAAAAGGCCTTGGACACCACCCACTCCACCTCCTGAGGCCCAAAGAGGGAAAACTATGTGGATGGTTCTAACATGCCCACCAAACTGTTCCTATGCACTGACCACTTACTGTGTGCCTGGTATGTGCCAGACATAACATGTGCTTGATGTCAGGGAATCCTCACAGCCACCCTAACAAGAAGGTGCCTCTCTTATCCCCACCTTACCAACGAGGAAACTGAGGCTCAGTCACATGGCCAGTAAGTGGGGAAGCCAGAATTTACACCTCGGTCTGTCTGGCTGTAGGGTCTGCACCATTTCCCAAAACAAGGGTGGTACAGATGGGAGGATGTAAGGCCTGCATGACCTTAGCATTACATAACATTGACTCACACTTTGAGGAAGCTGTTATTCCTCGTTCCACTCTCTGTCAATAAATCTTTTGATAATTGAAAAAAGAATGGCTCAGTCTGAGGCTAGCACATCTTTAATGCTGCTCTAACATGAGCTACTCTCCTTTTCTGAACTAAGATAGTGCAAACCTCAGGCTCAAAGCTTTCAGAGCAAGCAATGGTATCCATCCCAAAATGTAATCATAAGCCTGATTTCATTGCAATTATTTGTATTTTTTAAAAAAGCATGCAATATTGTGTATCCTTACCATCATAATACCTAATTTCCATTAAAATCAAAGTGGTATCAGTTTAAGGAAAAAAAAAAAAAAGCTTGATTTAAAGGTTTTCTTAACTTGGAGTCTGTGGATAGAACTCAGCAGGTCTGTGAATTTGCATGGAAAAAAAAAATTAGGTCTTTCTTTTCATTAACCTCTACCTGAAATGTAGCTCTTCCTTCAAGGATAAACATAGGCACCAATCCCTAATGGAGTCAGCAATACTGTGACTTTGCCAATAATGGGGATGTATTTTCATAACACGTCATAGTTGCTCAAGGTATCACATACACCTATCACTACTTTGAAATTACAGGAGTTATTAGACACCACTGCATCTTGTTTAACGTGTTAATAAAAAGTTCACATAATACTATATCACAAATCTTTTTTTAAAATATTTTCATAACTGTATTCCAAAATAATTAGCTTCTTTTGTGACCCTATGGATTTTATTTTATTTAAAACATTAGTCTGAGAAGCCTGTAGACTTCACCAGAATGCCAAAAGGGTCTGTGATTGAAAAAAGATGAGGAGAGTGGCTCAAAATCCTTGATTAAGGAAAATGCATTGAGTAGACTTACTTAAAACCTGCAGATGTGTGACAAGATGAGGACAGTGTGAGCTGGTGGACATTACACCAGGCTGAGTTCCCTGCCTTGAGTCAGTCCCATGGGTAGTCAGTGGCAAAGCTAGGCCCAGGCCCCTGCGTCTCACTTCCTACCACCTGGGGCTCAGGCCTGCTCGTCATACCTTACCTCCCTGGTCAAGGACCTGATCCACCTCACCTTGTCCATCATAGCAAAGATCCGGTCCACCCTCTTCTCAGGGGTGTTCTCCTCCTCAGGAAGCTCCACAGTGTTCCCCTGCCAGGGACAGACAAGATGGGCTGGGCTCCTGTTACTTCTGGCTTTGGGGTCTTGGCCAAATACTTGGGTTGGTTCCAGGTGAGGACCGCCTTTCCCTCCCACTGCCCACCATGCCCAGCCATCTCTGCCATCCTGATCTGGGTCATCCCATGCACACCAGCCCCAATACTGCCCCCACTTCCCCCTCTCCCAAGGTGGAACTGCACAGAGTGACCCCAGGGGAGAGAGCAGTTGCACAGGGAGTGCTCCTCTGGTCAGGCCCTCTCACTAAATGTGATGCCCTTCTGCCACTCCCTGCGTCCCAGGGCCCAGGCTTCTCACCACCATCTGGTAGATGGCATCCACAATATCCAGCATCTCATTCCGGGTGATGTAGCCATCGTTATCCAGGTCATAGAGCTTGAAGGCCCCTGCAACCAACCAGCCACAGCTGAGCTATTCCTGGCCCAGGGATAGCTGGGTAGAGGCACTTTAATACCTCCTCTCCTCTCTGCACCTCAATACACAGCCAGGGACTGAGGGCCCCATTATTCATGTAGTCAATGAACATTTTACATCAGGACACACGGAGGTGGATAGACACACACGTGTGCACACTCACATGCACACACAGACACACGCACCATTTCAACTAAAGAAACTGCAAGGGGTTTTGCTGCCAAAGAAATAAAGTATAAATGTCTTAGTGAGCAGTGAGTTCTGGCCCAAAGTGTTTTCATCTCTCCTTCAGCATCTCTTTCTTGCACCCTGCATCCCAGCCAAAGAGCCTCCACGTGCCTGCACGTTCTCACCTCTGTAGCATTCTCTCATCCCTCCCTCACAGACCTTGCACATACTCTTCCCTGCCTGGAACCTTCTCCCCCACCCCCACCACCAGCTCCTACCCTTCCAAGCTGTAACAAGGTCAGTTCCTCTATCGCAGTCTCCCATCTCCTCATCCTGTCTCGACTGCAGTTTTATGAGATTATTTGAACATCTGCCTTCTAGACTGACTGAGCCTCATGAGAGCAGAGACCTGTCTGTCTTATTCCCTAGTGGATTCCCACTCTCCTGTCCAGAGCTGCACATGGCCACATTCAGTCACTATTTGTTGAATGAATGAATGAAGGGAACAATGAATGAACGAAATCAGTAATCATAATATCTGTCACCTAAATGGTGGCTTTTGACCCCAAGCCACACTGCCCACTGCCGTGTGTCTCCACCTACTGAATTTCACCTTTCTCCTGCCAGCCATGTGCTCTACCTGCCCTCCCTTGCTGCCCCCTCCACAGCCACCTCTAACAAGAAACCCCCTGGCCTGGAAGAACAGGATGCCTGGGCTGTCCTCTTACCCCTGGACATACAGTCTAGCCTGGTTATTTGGTCATGTGAGGGTTCACGCTGGGCTATCTCCACAGACATGGGCCCTCTGCAGAGCCCACCAGCCCAGGGTGCACGGTCCTGACCTCTAAGCAGAGAGGCCCTCTGTGGTTGCTGCCATGTGTGTCTGACGCCCTCTCCTGGCAAGGGCCCTCCCAGATGCTGCCTGATAAGCCCAGGACAGGTGGGACTTACACCGCAGCTTCTCGTCCAGGGTTCCCCTTGAGGTCACCGACAGTGCCTGGATGAACTCAGAGAACTCAATCCGCCCATCCTGGCAGAAGAGAAAACAGGGGCAAAGAGTGGCCATGCTCAGCACTGGGACACACGGTTGGGCCGAGCAGGACCTTTAGGAGCAAGGAGGAGGTGATGGGCAGTAGCAGACATCAGATACCCATGGCCAATGGACACTCAAATGGGGAGGCAGGAGTAAGAGAAGGAAGGGGAAGGTGGAAGGAAAGGAGGGGGGAGACAGGCTGGGGAGGAACAGGGAGAAGGGAGAAAGAAAATAGAAAGGGAGCAGCGGGGACAGGAAGTAGGGCCCAAACTGAAGGAGAGTCCAACTCAACTTCAGAAATAAGAAAGAGCCAGAGGGCACCACCAATACACACACAACTCTTCTGGCAAGACCTGCCCCAGAAACGCCTCCGCCTAGAACTGCAGGCTTTTGGAGGGGGAAGGGCCCTAAAGACGGTTTAATCCAACCTATCTGTTTTAAAAATAAGGAAATTGAGGCCCACAGAGGGGCAGCACATCAAAGCAGTCCCAGGAAGTGTGACTCCCAGCCCAGAGGGTAACTGGAGAGAAATCCAGTGCCTGTCAAAGTGGAAACAACCTGAGTGCCCAGCAGGAGGGCACATGGAAACACGCTACAATAAGTCCACCCTTGCATATCACATAGCCATGAAAAACGAACAGAATCTGGAAGGTTGCAGATACACCAAATACAGGTACACTAACTGTAGATTTACAGTCTGCAGTGGTGAGGGCTGTGTGTCGTTGCATCGATTCCAACTCACAGTGGCCCTATGAGACAGAGGAGAACTGCATCACAGGGTTTTCTGTTGTTGTTGTTGTTATGTGCCGTTGAGCCGGACCTGACTCATAGCGACCCCTCCTTGGGTTTCTGAGGCGGTATCACTACGGAAGTAGATTGCCCAACCTTCCTTCCAAGGAGCAGCTGGTGGGTTTGAACCGCCAGCCTTCTGGTTAGCGGTCAAATGCCTTAGACACTACACTACCAGAGCTCCCATAGGGTTTCCTAGGCTGTAATTTTTACAGGAGGAGACTCCCAGGTCTTTTCTCCTGTGGAGCAGCTGGTAGTTTCAAACTGTCGATCTTTCAATGAGTGGCTCAGTGCTTAACCATTCATTGCACCACTAGGGTATATCAGGTGAGTATTACATACATAATCAGACTAAAACAAAACAAAATGTTTTCAAATAATGTAGGATATTATCGAGTAACTTGGGATGTTAGTTTTGATACATTTGTGTGAGTGTGCATGTGTGTACATGTGCATGCTTCTCTGTGCATCTGTGTGTGTGCACACGTGTGTGTTCCGTCCCCAGAAGGGAACGTTAGCAGAAGAGAGTGGGTGTGGGGATGCTGCTGGAGCTTAGCAGGGTGCTGCAGGAGGGAGGAGACTCAGGGCTGGTACAGGCCCCACCAATCTCTGGCTCACCTTGTTTTCGTCAAAGACGTTGAAAACAAACGTAGCAAACTTAGTGGGGTCTCCGAAGGGGAAGAATTGCTTGTAGATCTTTTGGAAGCCTGCGGCATCCAGCTGCCCACTGGGGCAGTCCTTGATGAAGCCTTTGTACCTGGAGACAGCAGACCGAGTAAGACAGGAAAAAAGACACACAACATCGCCTACCCCCAGGCACCTCTGCCCAGGGGCCCAGGGCGGCTGAGAATCCCTGTTCAAAGAGACAGTGCCAGATAGGGGTCATGGGCACAGATCTGGACATCGTGGGCAGGTGGGTTCAATCCCACCTCTGTCTCACGTTAGCTGTGTGACCTTGGACAAGTGACTTCACCTCTGAGCCTCATCTATATAAGGAGGATGAAGACTGACATGAGATTTAACCTAGATACTGCACTTGGCCACCTTGTGTGTTGCTATGATGCTGGAAGCTGTGCTTCCAGTATTTCAAAAACCAGGTGGACAGGTTTCAGTGGAGCTTCCAGACTAAGACAGACTAGGAAAAAAGGCCTGGTGATCTACTTCTGAAAACTAACCAATGAAAACCCAATGGATCACAATAAAATACTGTCTGATACAGAACTGCACCATAAGGTTTCCTGTTGTTGTTGTTGTTGTTGTTGTTATATACTGTTGAGCTGGACCTGACTCATAGCGACCCCTCCTTGGGTTTCTGAGGCGGTATCACTACGGAAGTAGATTGCCTGAAGGTGGGAAGTAGGAACCTTCCTTCTGAGGAGTGGCTGTGGGTTTGAACTGCCAGCCTTCTGGTTAGCAGTCAAGTGCCTTAGGCATTATGCTACCAGAGCTCCCATAGGGTTTCCTAGACTCAAGCCTACCAGCAATCATGAAGACAGTATAGGACCGGGTTACGTTTTGTTCTGTTCTGTAAGGGGTCACCGTGAGTCAGGGCTGACTAGATGACAACAAACAACTGTGCCCGGAGCTCATGGTTGCTCAGCCCCGTGCTCAGCACAGGGGGCGTGAAACAAGACTCACGAGAACAACCTCCCCAGAGCCGCGCTCTTGCACAAGGTACTCCCGTCTCCGCATCTTCTCCACTGAGCTCCTCTCAACACCCAGACAGCTAGTTGCTGGTGGGAAGAGCATATGGGCCGGCAGCTGGCTTCTCCCACATGCTGCACCTCCTCCCCGCACACACACACCTCCCCCTAGCCTCTGTTCCTAGGGAACTGGGTAAACCAGCACTGGAGCAGGAGACTCCGGTTTGTTCCAAATGCACTTATCTCCCCTGGATCCACAAGACCCAGCACAGGACCTGCCAGATACTGGTCAGCTGACGGCTGTCCAACTTTCGGACTGTGGCTTTGCAGTCCACCTCCGGGCTCTGTCTTCACCAATGGTACAACCTCGGGCAAGTGCCCTCATGTCTTTGAGCCTCAGTTCCCTCATATATAGAGATGGGATGGTTGTCACACACATCTTGCAGGGATCGAGTAAGATCATGCAGCATACTTGGCACAGGAGCGGCACAGAGAAGGTAAACTCGAATGTATGTTGTTTTAAATTAATTCACTAATTAGCTCCTGTGGGTAGCTTAGCTCTCCCACCTGAGACAGACACTCCTCAGAGGACAATTTCTAGCACAAGAGGAAGCAAGAGGGAGAGATGAGCTATTATTATCTATCACCTCCACTGGGCCAGACTCCTTGCTGGAATCTCTGCAAACCTTATTCTTCTTGAATGCCCCCTGTGAGGAAGGTATTACGGTGATGTCCATTTTAAGATGAAGAAACAGGCTCAGCGAGGGGATCATTTGCCAGGCCTGGCAACTCGACTGGAGCTGAGATGGGGATTGAAGGCAAATGCTGAAGAGGACCAATGCTCAGAAAAAATGGTCTGCTGAACTCACACCTGCCCCCACCTGCTCTCTGCCATAACCAGGGTCTGCATGAAGGTGCCACTCCACATCTAACACTGAAGAAGAGGGTCCTGAGAGTGCTCGAAGTCGCATATGGCCCCATGATTGGGGTCTAGAGAGAGGGACGTGTGGAGAAACTACTGTTCCCTTATCTGTAAAAGGACAAGCTGAGGGACCTGGGGGAGATGGCTGACACAGGAGGACCTATCAGAACACAGTGGGCACCTGAACGTGGGAGTCTTGGGAGTTCTGCAGCTGAAAGGATGGGGTCAGATATCAGAGAGAAAACAGGACAAGACTCCAGCTAATGGTCTCAGCTGTCCCCTTATGGAGTGCAGGTTGTTGCAATGCCCAGAGGAGGGGAGAGGTGGGCAGAGACCAGAGAAGACAGAGTGTGATGTGGGTGGGACGTCTTCTCTGAGTTGGAGTGGAGCAGGGACACGGCCATCCCAACATTGCCCACAGCAAGTGTGAGGTCATCAAAGAGGCTAAGCTTCTGAAGGCCAGGCAGGTCCCAGCCTTCCCTGCCCACCCCCTACGGGCCAGAGGCCCAAGTGGGTCTTTCTCAGTCTCTATCAGCTGGAACCTTTTGTAACAACCTGTGACAACAGGTCTCAATGCCAGTCACTGTGCTAAGCCTTTGTGTATAGTTCCTCATTCAACAGGGATCCTGGGTAGCACAAACCTATTAACCAAAAGGTTGGTGGTTCTAATCCACCCAGAGGTACCTCAGAAGACAGGCCTGGTGATCTGCTTCCAAAAGGTCCCAGCCTTGACAACCCTATGGCGCAGTTCTACTCTGTGCACCTGGGGTCACCATGAGAGTGAATGAATCCAATGGCAACTAGCAACAACAACCACCTCGTCCAATCACCACATCAGCCCTTTGTGGGGGGGTTAATTGTCCCCATTTCAAATGAAGACACTGGAGCACAGAGAAGCCAGGCAATTTATTGAAGGTCCCACAGCAAAAAGTGGGACTTGGAGCCTGTGCTCTAACCATCAGTTTTCCCTGTCTCCCCTGTTCTCATGCCTGCCAGTCCGTCTGTGACTCTGTTATCAATCCCACCTTAGCATGTGATAACTCTGGCCCACCAGAAACCCTGCACCCTGTCCTGCCAGGACCCTTGGCGTCTGCTGGCCTCTGCTTATTCCCCTAGTCTGCTCTGAGCTTGGCTCACACTGGCCATGCCAGTAGGAACAAAGCAAGGCAGGAGAGTCAGGGACGCAGACACCACCACAGGTATCAGGGAGAGAAGGACACAGCCCCTTCCCACTCCTTCCCCATAAAGTCGCCAGCTCTCTGCTTTCTTCCCAGCTGGATGTTTCAAATGGTTTTTGGCTCAAATCTTCACACCAGAGCCTGGAACTCAGAGACAGGGAGAAGGAGCATCTCTGAGACAAGAACTGGTCCATGACCCCAGGCCCCCAGGTCAGAAGGGTCCCAGGCAGGGGGAGAGGCATACTTGGCACTAGGACCCACCCCACTGTTACCAGACCTCTTTGGATGCTGGGATAATGGGAGATGATATTCTCTTTGTATTTCTGCATACCTCCTAATTTCTCTACAACAGATTGGTATTACTTGCATGATTCTAAAAAGTTATTAAAAACAGTAATCATAAAACAAAATGCACCCAAAGGCCTCTCCTGGACCCATCCCTAAGGGAAGCTGACAATATGTGCCAACTCTCAGGAGGAAAGAAGGCAGTGCTCTTAGGCAACAGCAGCAGCAATGGGAGCTGTCAGCATGGTTAGCAGCGTTAATTGCAGGCAGAAGGGTGCAGGAAGGCCAGCCCCAGTGGGGAGCTTGGGGGGCTGTCCAGTTACCCCTGCAGAGGCTGTCACTGTCACTGCAGGGCCCCAGCCTCCTTTAGTGCCATAAGCAGGATCCCCCAGGAAACCTACCCCATTAAGGTTGGCCCCAGTGGCTGCTCCAGCCTCCTCTTGCCACCCGTACACCCCACTCCTGTGTTCCACACCCAGCCACACTTTCTAAAACTTGCCACGCCATCTCGAACCTGCGAAGCACTTCCACCTAATCCACACATCCACCCAGTCCCAGCTTGGACAGCACTTCCTCCAGGAAGCTGCCCTAGCCCCCAGGCCTGGGGCCAAGGTTCCCCTTGGCTTGTGACCCCCAGCACAGCACAGATGGCACTGTATCATTCTTGCCTAAGCTCCAGACCGTCCTCCACAGTCTGAGCTCTCTAGCCCGTAGCAGGGGCTCCATCTGTGTTTGTTCAGTGAAATAAGTGAATGAATGAGCAGACTGTCAGGCAGGGGCAGAGAGCCCAGACATCTACCTCAAAGGTGTCTTCCTGGTATCTTCCTGGGACCTCCAGATCAGGAGGCATGGCGGCAGGAGATGGGGAGGACCCCCAGAGATCCTGGCCACAACCCAAGAGTTCCAACAGGGATGGTTAAAAAAACCACAGAGGCTCTCAGCCCTCTGTGTATTGATGGGGAATTGAAGGCCCAGAGAGGGTTGTAACTGGCCCAATGTCACACAGCAAATTAGCAGCAGAAATAGGGCTCAGACTGGGAGATCCTGCTTCCCAGTCTCCCCACCCCATCTGCCCTTCCCAAGAGCCAGGCTGCACCACCCCCGTGTAAGTACATGAGTAAAGTGCTATATACCCAAACATTATGTAACCACACTGTTCATCATCAGAGGGTGGAGGGAGGCACGCTGCTCACCCAGCCTGTGCTGTCCTGGCCACCCTTATCATCCCAGATGCCCAAATCACCCCACAAATCATCACAGCTCCAACACCAGGTTGTTCTGTGATGGGTCCAATCCTCCAGTCCCCCACAGGCTGGCTGAGTCAGCACACCCCAACCACAGCCTGTTCACTACACCCTCACCCCCCCAACCCCAGTGTGAATCCACAGGCACACCTCCTCCCGGCAGGCACCCCAGTGAGCTGCTGCCCTGTGTGCAGTTCACACCCACGAATTCCATCCCCAGCATGATTGGACGACGTGAATCCATCCCCCACACCCAGGCCCAGGGCTCAGGTTCCAACAGGCCCGGCCTCCTCCCTCTTCTCCTGCCAACCCCACCCTCTCTCCTTCAGACAAGCTGCCGCCAAGGGAACCTGCACCCATGGTGGGCCTGGAGACAAAGGCCTGTCTGGTCCTGATGCACAGTAGGAGGGGACCCAGGGCAATGCTCTTCCCTGCAATGCCCTCAGTTTCCCTGCTGGTAAAATAAGGAGCTTAGACTAGACCAG